GGGGGGGGACACACATCTGCCCAAATACTACTCCAAAACATCTCTCCAAAGTCCATACTCAAAATAACTGACCAAAAGCACTGCAGGAACATACAGAGGGTGCAGGTAGGAAGCTTTGGTGTGTATATAGATACACACAAAGAGCCATCCCTTTTCCCTGGGCATAGCTGGTATTTCCCAGGTCATAATCTTTGCTTCATAGCTGGTTTACAAGCAATCAAATAGATCAGCATTATCATTAAAAATAGCCTGATTCAGAAAATATCATTCTTCAGATCTCGTGGTGCTTTCAGTGGCACAATGTTTTTCTCTTCAAAGAAGAAAATTTTCTTTCAAAGAGAAAAATAATGAAGCCTGACAAGCAATACACCAGCACAGTCTCCCACCAGCACAGGCTTCTTGGCAAGCACAGCACCCACTCATCCTAATCCCCTCCCAGGTTGGGGGAGCTTTGTTATTCTTCCCCTCTCTGACCATATGCCAAGACTTTGCAAATTTAGCCACTGGTTTGACCAACCTCTGTCCTCCCTTTCCATTCTACACCAAGCCCACCCAAAGGAAAGCCCATTTCAGCAGGAACACCAGGCAGTGCTTGGGCTGAGCCATCACCAGCCAGACTCTGCTGGGCCCTGGAAGACCACATTTTAATGGCATTCAAGAGCCTCATAAACCAATTGGGTACTCCTAAAATACACCCAGAATTAAATCCTCAGTTGCAGTAATTTTTTTAAGTTCTGCATCAAAGTTGGATACAACTCCAGCAAGGAGAAGGTCTCTCCTCTTGAATCAGGCCTGGGAACACTGCAAACCCTGGATCAACGAAGCATTTTCCTAAGAAGTGAAAAATATCTAAAGTGCCTCAGATTGAGCCTTTAATTTTAAAATCAGTCTAATTAAACAGAGTGGTGAGAGGAAATGGTAGAGACAGAGAACAAAACAGTACCTCATTCCTTACCTCATCTTCAGCATTTGACTTCCTTATCAAAGCTCTTTGTATGTCTTTTCCAAACAAGATTTCCTTTGATTTCCAGAAGATGAATTATGTGTTTGCACTTATGCTTTTAATATTGTATTAATTACCATGGGTATAATCTTAAAGATTGTATCGAGATATCAAAAGATAATACAGTTGCACTTAAATTTGTTAGCTGTGCAATAGCTTGCCCTAATTTTAGATTACCAGCTCTGGAGACCTGCTCAAAGAATAAGACTGACAGACTTTTTAATGGAGAAAATCGGAGTCCCCCTGGGATCCATACTTTTTTCTGATTCAGTAAGAAATCCCAGTGGCATTTGCTGAAAGGATCCCAGGATGGAAAATGACATCTCTCTAAGAATTAGTGCTTCTCACTCTGATGCAAGTCTTCCAAGTACACTCTTCTCCCACAGACACACCTGCTGCCTCTTCAGGCTTTTTAGCAACAGGAGAGCAAAATGCCTACTTTGAGTGCTCCAGTCCAGTCCTGTGTGTCAAACTGAAGTGAAGGAGCATGAATCTATATAAATAGACAAATTATCCACCCAAACCATGTCATTTAAAATTGAGATGCTGACACAGCCTTAGCTACAGTACTGCTGAGCGGGGGCTGCATCATTTTTTCAATTAAATATCCTTGTTTCTTCTTCCCGAGAAATCTCTGGAGAAATGTCTCATGTGAGGGCAGACACAGACAGAAAGTGCCTCTGCTATTGGCTCCCAATTAGTGGCTCTGGAAGATGGACTGGAGGCACAGCTATCACCTAACAGAGATCAGATCTCAACCGTGATTTACACAGCCACAGAGGGGCACATTCGAGTGGGGAAAAAAGTAATATTGCCAGCCTGGGAGACACTGCCTTTGCCACCACTCACTATCCATCTGCTCCTCAGCCTCCCACATCCTGCTCCTTCCTGCATTCTCCTACTTCACAGTGGTCCACCCAGTCAGACCTGAACCCACTCATCTTTCAGCCCCTCGATCTGTCCCACACCTTTCACCAGACCAACCTGCCAATTTTTATTCAAAGGCACTGGTCTGCCTTTCTGGATGCCAGGTCTTATTTATTCTAGAAGGAATATGCAGCTGTCATGCATCACTTCTACCTCTCACAGATCTCCTAGAAGGATCAGTGTGAGTTTGCCCTCAAAAATCCTAAATGAAGCAAAATTGCTTCCTTTGCATTTTCGGAAGACCAAGTACAGAATTCCTTTGCAGCAATATACCCTATATTCTGTATACTACAGGGTAGCAAAATCTGCAAGAAATAGTCCTAAAGAAAAATAGATCTCTTCCTGGAAACATTCCAGGTTCCACAATCCTCAAGATACACCGAGCAAGGTCTGAACAAGAGCAACTTGACAATTCTCTGTTAGAGCAGCTCCACAGCTGGAGGCCAATACCTTCACCATGATATAAGACATTTGGGTCAAGGATCTTCAAATTTCTAGTCCTGCTGAGCACCCTCAGCTCCCCTGGTTACTAATGGAAACTGGGGATGTTGGGCACTATTCATGAAACAATCAACCTGGCGCCCTCACTTTTCCCAGGGCATTGTGCTCGCGGGAATTTTTCATCCTAAAAAATGTTATTTTATTTCGAGCAGGAATTCGAAAAATCTTCTGGGCCCTATTGAAAGAGATCTAAAAGATCCTGCCTGTCTGAAGAAAAGAAGTTTCTGCTTGTCAGTTAAACAAAGGAATAACGCACAGCCTCCTTTATAGTGTGTACTTTACCTGTCATCCAACAGCCCATTATCACGTCACGGCAGAGTGCACTTTTCTACAGGTCACTTTGTTTAAAATGACATGGATAATGCACATGTCAGCGAGCTGACAGTCCCCACCGTCCTTCAGAGATAAAACCCAGCGACGAGCGCCTGTTCTTATCTGGGGTACATGCCTTGGTCTATCATCTAAGTCAGGCAGAACATGATTTCTCCAGAGAGCACTTTTTTCATTTCCTGATTTTAAGAAAATCAAATAAGCACCATTTGTCTTCATCTGAATATGCTTGACCTGCTCAAATGATGATGTCTCGCATTTTATAACAGGCTACATATGCTGAATTCAAATTAACAGCAGAACAAGGCCTTTAGATCTTTGCCTGGGCTGCCAGCACAGCCTGAATAAATATGCCAGAGTGAGCCTGTCAGAACTGGGCCTGAGCTACAGAGCTCAAAGCTGGGTCTGGTTCTGGGATTTGAGAAACCCTAAATTATTAGGGATATTTGGATCTGCACTTAAACTCATTTCATTAGGGGGAAGACAAAATGTAGATCACAGAGATGAAAATACTCATCTGGATTTTAAATCCTGCCCGCAGAGGTATTCTGTGGGAGGTACAATCCTGAGTTTCTCTTGTGTTGTGTAGTGGAAAGTCTCCTGAACCAGCATCCCCCCACCATCCCCAAAAGCTGCCTCTCTGCCTTTTTATACAGGAGTGCTGCAGGAGAAAAATTCACTGCAACAGCCAGAGGTTCAGCTCCATAAATGCAGCAGAGACAGGAAATTACACTTTTAGTTCTGGGTGCCATAAACATAGGAGCTGAAATTCAGTTTATCATCTTCCACTGCATAAGGAACATCCTGAAAATGAATAATCACTTCACAGGATGGAATGTAATGGTAATGCATTAAAAATTCATATCGAAAAGTGCAGGTTAATATTCTGTGCAAAAACCCAACAAAACCTCCCCTTTCTGTTGTCACACTGATTAACTCCAGTGATTAGTTCCCTTATGCAAGGAAAATCACTGCAGTTCAAAGTAAACAGTGGTTCTTTAAAATAGTTAGCAAATTATTAAGAAACATGAGGAAAAAAATCCTCTACTTGGGAAATTACTGGAAAAGCTGAAGGGCAAAGCTTCGGTGGTTATAGACAGAATGGTTTGAGAATTTCCTTGTCTTCCTGCTACATAAATCCTGTAGAAAACCGATTAAATTCATGGAAGGTGATTTCTGTGTTCATTGTTTCCTTGTAGATTTTACAACATATTTGTACTTGTCTGTTGGATGAGCTGCACACCAGCATGGTCATCTCTCCTCTTCTTGGCTTGCCTTGGAGCTAGTTAACAGAACCACTCATGAAACTCTAAACAATTCAACATTATCATAGGAACAATATTTTCTGACATTATTTTACCCTCCCCCGACTTCCATACCCCAATTTATCCAGTGAAAGAGGAGGTAAAAGTCATTACATTATCAAAACATCCCTTAAGGCTCAACATACAAATAAAAGTCACAAAATCCAACCTGGAAATAAAGAAATTGCACCATTTTTTCTGCAATGATTACTTCAGTTTTGCCAAAGAAAGGTTAGTTTGTTCACAACATAAAATAATGGATAAAAATATGCATCAGTGTGGATACCAGTTCTTCAATACTATTAGTCTGCTAAACAATAAACAGCATTGGAGACAATTGCCTGACTCTTTCAGTATGACATTCTTCCCTTTTCCCACTTAGAAACCCAAAAGTAGGGGGGTAAAATTAGCAGCAAGTTGTGTCACTTGACTTAATGTACAGTTTCCAAATGTTGTTTCTAAAATATATATATATATTTATATATATATATATATATATGTCAACCACAACACATCAGTTTGAATTTGCAGACCCTTGCCTGCAGAGAAGCAAAACAGGTGCTAACAGTGGTTAAATAAGTGTTAAGAAGTGAAAAAGTGAGGGTTACAAACAGCTTCAGTTGCTGTTACAACTTCCAAGGGGAAATGTAGCCATGGAAAGGGTTGGTAGTGAGGCTGCTGTTCATAAACAACCCACACAAACTGAGGCATCAATATGCTTGAAGATGAATTGTGCAGCCTCCAAAATATTAATTAGAATTCTCTTTCCTTGGAGGTCTATTCCAAATTTAAATTAAAGAACGTATTTTCTTTGTACAGAGATGCTTTAGATCACTCCAAAAAGAAACATTGAATAAGTAAAAGATTAAGAGGAATAAGGGAACCCAACAAATCCAACAAATCAGTTTTGCTCCCATACTGATTTTCTTCCTTACCTTTTCTTCTTGGTCACTGTCGCTGTCACACTGAAACACAAAAAGAGAAAAAGCACAGGTAAGAAAAACTTGCTACAGCAAAAAAAAAAAAAAAAAAAAAAAAGAAGAAATATTTGTGTGAACAAGACAGCTGATAACTCATAAACGTTGGGCATCACCTCTGGCACCTCCAGGAGCAAGCTCAGGTACTGTATGGGAAGGGAATTTCCCCCCCTTGCTGTGGAAGAGGATACATTTGTATGTTTGAATAATGAACACATTGCTCTGCAAACACCAAAAGCCATTTGCAAAACCCTCTGTCAGTTCAGTCCACGGGCACAGGAGCTGATGGTGCAGGTTTAACTCCAAAGCTGGATCAGGGGAGAATTAAAACAGTCACAGAGGACTGGTTTGCTTTGCTTTGCTGGACAGTGTTCCCCACACTGCCAATCCATGGGCTCCACAGGCTCCTCAGGCAGCAGGGTGTGGACGTGGCTCAGGTCTGCCCAGCCCAAAGAGCAGCATTTGCAAGGCTGCCCCTTTCCAGGAGCACATGGAAGGTTCACCCTGTGGCTTTGCTTACTGCTGCTGAGCTAAAGAATTCAGAGCTCACAGGGAAGCAAGAACATGCCAACAGTAAACACTTATAATGCTATAAAACAGCATTGATATTTAAAATCAATACTATCAAAACAGTTGATAATTATCAACTGCCATTGCTCAACTTTTTAATAACTTTCACTATAGCAGAAATAGAGCAGGACTAGAGCAGTCAAGGTTCCTTAGGGATAAGCACCAGACACCCCAAACACATTTACATTTGCTAGAAGAACAAAAGCTGTGCTGGAAATAGGACTCGAAAAACCACAGGTTTGATCCATCCCACTCAGTTCTGGGTAACTGCACCTCATTCTGTGGGTTTGGTTTGTTTAAATCTACAGTTTTAGGTTCCAGAGGACTGAATTGTCTGTATCAGCCAAGGGTGAACTCACACCTCTGCAGATCTAATGGCAGATGTTTCCAAGGAACAGGAGCCCCAGGACCAGCTGACTGTGCTGGGTTATTACAGCCCTCAGTTAAGCCCTTTCAGTATTTATATCATATTTAATGCATCTCTGAGTATTTTCATATGACAACCAAATTGCTTTGAAATGAGTTATATTTTGTGAATTCCAAAGGTTAACTCTACAGTGGGATGTGAATAGACAGAGCCAAATACACCCACAAATACATGTACTTGGTTTGCACAAATCAACTCATCTATGTGCTGTTTAATTATAACTTTTCTGTTTCACTGGCCTTTTTCCTTGTCTTCATCAGAACAGGGGGTGAAAAGGTACCTTCCCCACACCACTGAGCTACACACTAACAAATTAAAACTGGAACTATTTCTGTGTATTTTGCAACTAATTTTAAATGAAGCTAAGATTGGATAAAATTACAATCTTCACGCAGCTAATTCCAAACAGAAATGGAAGTGAAATTTTTTTAATAGCTGAAATGATTTATATAGCACTAGTTGTACCTAAATACTCTGGTCGCAAACAAATGAGAGAGAACATGAAGATATGGGACAATTTTAGCTTGAACTTTGAAAAACACAATGTTCAAACGAGTGAAGGGTGTACTTAACTGACAGAAGGAAAACTGCACATTTCTAGAACAGCATGGCTTTGATATAAAGAACTCATTCCTCACCCTGTAAATATTGGGCATTTTCACTTCATCATGACTGCCCGTATGAGGGTTTGGTGTGAGGGTGAGCAAGGCCCTACATTTACAAAGAAAAGCAAACCTGCCCATGGATTTTCATCCACAAAAATCACAGCACGGAATCACAGAATCTCCTGAGCTGGAAGGGACCCACAAGGATCATCGGGTCCAACCCTCAGCCCTGCACAGGCCCATCCCCAAACCAGGCAGCTCAGGAGCAACTGCTTCATTTGTTTGAGTCCCTTCCCGCCCTCCAGGCAAACTCCAAGTCCTGATCATAATACCTGAATCCAAAACAAAGTGGGCAAAGAGTGGATCTCTAAGCACGCCAGAATGATTCCCTTTTAGCCACAATGTTCATGTGCACGTGTCCTGTGACCCAGCTGAGCTCACAGCACTCTGCTGCCTCTCCTTCCCCCCCATTTTCTGTCTGCTTTAAGGAATCTCTCCTCTGCTGTAGTTTTTCCCATCTCATAAGCTTGGAAAAGCTCAGGGTTTTGTGTTCCCTGCAGCGCCGAGGTACTTGGGGAGCAGAGAGCTTGCCAGCACTGACATCTGAATTTGCCAACGGAACATCCTGAATCCGAGTGGATCTGCAGAGAGTGGTGTCGGTGGGAAGCTGCTTCCACCAAAGTGTTAAACCTGCTGCTTTCCGACAGTCCAGTTCTAATTTCAAGGTCCGCTTAATTCCACATCAAATAATTACTGCTATACCCAGAAGCACCTTGTCTCCAGAGTTAAGCATATGGCGAAGGACTGAGACCTACTGGTGTCCATTATGGAAGCAGCACGGATGCCAAGCCGATTAAAAATGCTCCTGCTCCCTCCACAACGTGCCCAGTGACTGACAGCTCCGTGATTTGGCCACTCACCGTGGCTGCCAGAACAGCCTCTGCTGCTCAGAGCCCACATGGCACTCGGAGAAAACACTTCCATCCCTGGTATTAAATTCCCACACTGACCCGAGGACTTTGCTGTGAGCTCAGCAGGAGTGCACCATCCAATTTACAGCTCCAGCCTCCAGAGCCCTCCGTGCCAGCCTCTGGCAGAGACGAATGATGGTCAAACCCCTCCAGTTCATAAATTATGCAAAGGCAATAAATGCACTCAGCAAACAGCTCTGCCCAGCCCGGCTCCGTGGACACGGCAGCAGCCCCTGCACTGGGCAGTGACTGCCCTCATCCAGAGGGGCTGGACACAAGGGAGGACCCACCATCCTGCAGCGCTTTCCTGGGCCAACAGCAGCATTTTATGGACAAGCTGGAGGGAAATAAAAAAGGAGGGAGAGGAGGAAAGGGCTCTAAGCACTGCACTGGGGTTGTGTTTACGTGCAGCACCCACCCACGTCTGTGTGCAGGATACTCACAGCATGGGCATGTTCTGCACATCCACTAATTTATGTGCATGGGTAATGCCAAAAAGAGAGAAGAAAGATGTTTCCTACCCAACCTGGAAACAGAACTGGAGCAACTGTTCGTCCCAGGCCTGAGAGTCCACAGGTAGGCACTCACACAGCCCCAGTGTCCCAAGCTCTGATGTGCTCCTTCACATTTTTGGATGCCTGTTCTCCCCAGAGGTGCTAAAGCACAAGGTGTTTCCATCTCCTGCAGCCTCACAGTTGGAGAACACATTCTGGAAACCAAAGCTGACAACCGTGGAGTTGATTATTCAGAATTACTGGTCAATTTGAAGGCTCGAGTCTGCCCTGCTCACTCAATTCCTCAGTTCCTCCAGCATTTCTCTACCTCCCAGAGCCACAGGAAGAAGTAAAATGATTTAAGTGCTTTGTGGTTCTCAGAGCACCAGACTGTTTAGGAATTGAAGAGATGGAAATACTTTGTAGTGGCCTCAGCTTCGGGCTGAGTTTTAGTATTTCGTGTCTATTACAAAAAGCTCATTTTTCAGTGCTCTCTCATGTCTTGTGTCAGGAAACCATGGCTCTGTGCACAGGCTGCCTTGGAATGCTCTGAAAATAACTGGGAATCCAAAATGTCATTCGGAGATAGCATGACCTGATTTTTGGAGAGCTGCCACCCGCTCCACCGTAAGCTGCGAGTGACAATGTGACAAACCAGGACAAGGAGGCTGCAGACACATTTTACACCTGAACAAACAGAGGCTTCTTGCTCTGATTCTCAGGCTCAAGGCATTCACTGTCTCCACACTGAACACAAGCTGTGACTGATCACAGGTACCACAGGCCAGGCTTGAGAAGAGCCCAGAGCCAAATGTCCAAATTTGGCCTCCATTACCACAACTGCCTCGTCCATCCCCCAGCTCAGGTCGAGCCAGAGGAGCAGAACTGCTGAGCACCCACAGCACCCATGGCCAACTTCTCAAATGTGCATGGCCCAAAATGCTGTGAGATCTTTTCAAACCAAAGCCTGACAGGCCCCTCAGTGATTCTGCACAATAGCTATTTTAAAGTCTTGTATTGGCCAGAGGGGACTCAAAAGTTTCCCCAAAGGACCTACAGCACTACCAGCCAAACCCAAGCAAAGGACAGAGAAAGCTCGCCCAAAATTAGCTCCACAGAACAAAACCTTAGAGGACATATGGAAACATTAAGGTTGCTCCCAGTTTCTACATAATCAGGGGTAATAACGAGACCAGACTGAGTGACTTGCACAAAGTGGCCACAGTTACCACTTAAACTGTTCCAAGCCCTTTGAGAACCAAAGTGGCCACCAGCCACTACGTCACTTGACACACACTTGCCAAGTGTTCAAGCTTCCTCTGGCAGTATTTCTGCAACTTCCTGCTCAAGAAATGCTAATCACAGTCAATGACCCAGGAAACTTGCATTTTCATATGTGTGCTGCAGTCAAAATTCAAATAATTATTGCTGAAATCAGCCCCAGGTGAGGAGACACAAACTCAAGAGCTCTTTCTACCAACAAAACATAAAGCTCTTCTTTCAGCCCCAGCTTGAAGCTCCTGAACCCCTGCTATGGGTCAGGGCTGTGGAAGCAGCAGATGCCCGGAATATGCATACATGTGACTGCAGTGGGAAGTGGAGAAAGAACCTTCCAATTCCTCTTTGAGGTATAAGTGCTGTGGAGTTTTGCAGAAGAAAAGGAAAACTGAAGATCAGGCTAAAGATCAGCTGCACCTCCCCAACCCCCTGCCCCAGCTGGAGAAAGTTAAAATGCACAGCACATCCCCCACTGCACCCACAGAATGAGCCTGATCCCAATGCCACGATTCAAAAATCAGACACCCTATGTGGCTGCAGCTCTAATTTGAGCCCATTTTAATAACTTGAGAGAGCCTGGTCCAAATCAAGCTGAGTAAAGGTCTGTGCCACCTCACCAGCTCATTCAGGCTGAAGCAACACC